TTACTAATTCTGTTATAATGAGTACAATGTTCTATTTGTATTTCTCTACGTTTTTAGAAACACACTAACGTACAATAATTAAATATCGTTTTCTAATTTGAACGTTATTTAATTCTCAAACATATTAATAACCATTATCGATGTCCTAGTAGGTCGTGTATAGTGTTTAAAAAGAAGGATGTGCACATTAAGGGTGGAGATAATGTACAGAGAATGCACATTAAGTGTGGTGTCTTTGGAGATGGTGTATAGAGTTTAAGGAAAAGGGAAAATGCACATTAAGTGTGGTATTCTAGGAAATGATGTATAACTTAAGGAAAAGGAAACATGTGCAATAAAGGTGGTGATGTCCCATAGGATGATGTATAGAGTTTAAGGAGAATAAAGAATGCACATTAAGTGTGGTATTCTAGGAAATGATATATAACTTAAGGAAACGGAAACGTGTGCAATAAAGATGGTGATGTCCCATAAGATGATGTATAGAGTTTAAGGAGAATAAAGAATGCACATTAAGTATCTCACCATGAACGGCTACTAAAAGAACTTACACTTGTTGCCGTTGTATAACATATCAAATTTTAACCTATTTATAACGATATCACTATGTTGAAGAACAACATCTTTAGTCATCACTTCTCTGTTGGATGGGACAATGTCTTGAGATTAGCGTGCCCTGCCTGTGATGGTTCACACTTAGTGTCCCCTTGACGCAAAATAGGGTTATACGCTTTAGTGTCGTTAGTGTGTTAAAATAGTGACGATCAAACCACATTCTTCCGTTGGACAACAACTGTATAAGAGTTGACGGTGTCTGGACAACTGCCTTTATTCTAGTCTATCAGTTTAAAATTAGGATCGCCTGACCGTAGAACTCTTTTTGTATACTTTTGCCCGAAATATTCGAAACTTCACTGTTTTGTTGGGTTTTTCATTTACCATCGACCCGACTTAGTTAAACTTCCTTTAAAGCTAGAAAAAAAGTTGAATAACACTCATCGTCTCGGGAATTGCCAGTAAGTAAGTAATTATTGTAATAGTTAAAACGTAAATACGGTTTCACTGAAAAATGTGGAAAATTTCTTAACTTTTACTCTAATTAATCCTGTCTAGCAGTAAAGGAACATCTTTAAGCGAATAAGGAAGAAACTTAGACGATCTTTTTTCTTTATAATATGAATGTAATTAAACTCAAACGTTAAGAAATGTATTTAGTGAGTAAAATAACATTTTCGGTGATTTTTAAAAAAATACTACATCATTTTTGTGAAAAACATTACAGCGAAAGACATCACACCAGCTATGGGATTTAGATACTGATTTATTAGCGATTGAATACAGGTATTAAAAGTGTTCGCTTGCAGTAACTCTTTCACAAAAGAACTAGATTCATTTAGTTCCAGACAAGGTGTAGGGATAATATTTTAAAATATTTCTTCTAATCTAGGAGAATTTACAGACTTAGGATCAACAGACAATGTGGCACCGGTGGGATGTGTACCACCATGAGAAGATACAAATTGTACAGTATCATTTTTATGAGAAACATTCTTAATTTCTGTTCAGTTTGTTAGGTTTCAAAATAACAAACTCTTTCGCCTCTCAATTACCTTTGCAGAACGTTTCAGTGTGGGTCAGAATCTTGCAATTTCGATGTCATCGAATGATAACGCCACAGCTGATTGGAGGAAAATGATACATAAATGGTACGATGAAGTGAAAACCTTCTCCTCCTCCCACATCAATCCCTACAAATTTGATTCAAACTCAGGGCATTACACTCAAGTAAGTCCATCAGAAATAGTGATACAAAGAATTTTGAGAGTTTGGGATCAGATAAGGGAGAATAAACTAATACCCGTTTCGTTTTTATTATATACGTTCTTCTATTTATAATCATTTTCAAATTTTAAAAGGGTCTGATTGGACTAAATTGGTAAATCACTTGTTTTGATTTTAATTTTAAATTTATTCCCAAGAGAACTTTACTATAAGATACCCAATCATAATGTCTTAACAAAGCGGTTATATAAAATACCAATATTTTCTGTATTAACCTTTGAATTATCGTTTATGTTTATAGTTGTACAAAGGGTTTAAGGGTTCAGTAAATGTGGATAAACAACACATTTTAATTTCCAGAACCCACGTGAAGTGTATATTTCAGTATTTTGCTGTATTTATAGGCTGACACGGTCTTTAACAAATGTAAATATGCACAAACAAATATAACAAATAGAAATATAGGTAAAACAATGTAATTATTAATGAAAATAGTAACCAAATTTTCAAGTATAAAGGTTTTATACTTACTAAGTGATTGGGTGTGTTTGACAGGTGGTGTGGGCAAACACCTATAAAGTAGGTTGTGGCTATACATATTACAAAAACAACCAGTGGTATACTAAGCTCTATGTTTGCAACTATGGTCCAACGTAAGTAAAACCATTTTTAAATAATTTCTTCACGAAAACATACGGAGAGAATAAACAACAACGTTTTTTTTTTCTATTTAAATTCACTTTACAATTTTAAGTAGGCTGATTAGATTAAATGAGTAACTCACGTGAGTTTATCTTGATTTGTAAATAACTTCTCAATGATAGCCTATTGATAGAGATTACTTATTTCAATCATAAATGATTTGATTTCAAACTAATACTTTCTATTGATTTAAAAAACTAATGACCCATCTTAGACTAAACCTAATTATTTAAAGTGTTTTTACTTTTTGGTTTTGGCTTTATCTCATCCAATAAGGATATAAAAAGATAAAGGTTCTACTAAATCGTGAAAGGTCACCATCTTATAGACCCAATAACTAAATGTTGTTAATTAAAAATAATTGTACTCTAAAACGTTTTTACAATTCAACCATTTTTATGAGTAATTTTATTTTCACTTGGGATCGTGAAAAATAAATGTGTAAAAATCCACTCAATATCACACAATTTTACTTCATTCATATGAAATTGGTTTACAATAATCATTAAATGTTTATATTTTCACCAAGTAGTTTTTCATACTTGCTTTTGGGCAATTAAGTTCGAAAGCAGGAGATATATGATGTTCAACTAATAGTTTTCAAGATAAAACCTGTAATAAAATATTTGTCATATGTTATGTTATGCAAGAGCTTTTAGTACTTTAGCTACGCAGAAGACATATCGTTCTGTTTGATTTTTGATCCTGCTAATCAGAAAGTTGAAATTCATTACACTTGTTTGTAAGCAGAATAGCCTTTATAAGCTCTTTCTGATGGAACTTTTAACACTATGTCTGAAAGTAAAAATTGGTCAATTTCGCTGCGTGGAAGTAAAGTGTAAAAATACAAATTAAAATAAGTATCGGATTCGGCAAAGAAATGTTTTAGTTACTGTTTTTCTGCATGAGAGTGAACAAGTAATATTCATAATGAAAACTGTTAATAAAAAGTGACCCGTTTCAAAGTCAGTTCTAGATCCTATGGCTAATTGAAACGAGTGCTAGATGGTAGCAAGATGGAATGAAATAAAATATTTAGAAACATGTATCTTAACCCTATTTCAATCTGTAACATTATAACTTATAGCAAAAAAAAATTAACTCTGGCTGGCGTTTCACGTGATTTTACAAGGCAGAAAATGAATGTTACTGAGCAATCTGTAATTAGAACGGAATATCAAAACTATCTACCTAAGAGTTTTTATGCTTGTTTAGAAAAGTTTTGTATGACAAATGAGTTTGTAGATATAAAGGACTACTTTATATTTTGTAAGAAAACAAATAATTATGTTCTTAGCGTTGAATATATAAAAACAACAACAAAAGACAATCGTTCGAAAGTTATAGGGTTTCTTTAATTATGATTTATCTGTTTTATCCCTAAATATTGTTCAGATATCAGCAATTTAGAATTAATTTGTATCCATTCCTCCCGAATAGTTATTTTCATTAAATATATAGTGTACTACTTTCTAGCTTTGAACTCCATAACATAGTACAAGGTCAATTTGTAATGTATAATTATTTCCTAGCGGTAACATTATCGGGCGAGCAATGTACGAAAAAGGCAAACCCTGTAATGGATGTCCATCTGGTACCAAATGTTTAAAGAACTTTCCAGGACTGTGTGGTGAGAAATTATCTTCCAAGCTTGTATGATATGAAAATAATATATTGGTTTCGCTTTTATTTTCACTATTTTGCGTCAGAAAAAATATTCAATTAGTTACTAAGATTGTATTAATTCTCAATTGGTCAATATGTTTGTATTAATTCTCAATTAGTCACTAAGACTGTATTAATTCTCAATTGGTCACTAAGTTTGTATTAATTCTCAATTGGTCACTAAGTTTGTATTAATTCTCAATTGGTCAATATGTTTGTATTAATTCTAAATTAGTCAATATGTTTGTATTAATTCTCAATTAGTCACTAAGATTGTATTAATTCTCAATTAGTCACTAAGATTGTATTAATTCTCAATTGGTCACTAAGTTTGTATTAAGCATTAAGCACAAGGGATATCTCTGTCTCAGGAATTCTAAATTCTCGATCTGAAAACAACTTTGTGACCTGATTGTATGAATGTTTTGAATTGGAAAAAAACGATGAATCTTCGGTGAAATAACTATTCTATGAACAGCTAAACAATGTCCAAATGTAATTCTGATACATATTTTCCCACCGCAACTTTATATCGACTGTGGGAGTCACGTGATTTGCATATTCAAATTTGAGTCCATACAAACGGATGTCCAATATGCACGAAATATCCTTATTAATATCAGTTTCTTATCAAAGCAAGCCTTATTATAGGCCCGGCATGGCCAGGTGGATAAGGCGCTGGACTCGCAATCTGAGGGTCGCGGGTTCGAATCCCCGTCCCACCAAACATGCTCGCCCTTTCAACCGTGTGGGCGTTATAATGTGACGTTGGTAAAAGAATAGCCCAAGAGTTGGCGGTAGGTGGTGATGACTAGCTGCCTTTCCTCTAGTCTTACACTGTTAAATTAGGGACGGCTAGCGCAGATAGCCCTCGTGTAGCTTTGCGCGAAATTCAACAAACAAACAAGCCTTATTATAAAATTAGGTATCCTCGAGGTCATAAGTGCATCAGGCGAATCTTTAGCTGCGTTACTCGCACTCTTGAAATTTTCTTTAGGATGTGTAGCAAAATATTATATAGCACAGAGTTTCCGGTACTGTGTATATAATTCAGAATGCTATTATCTGAAAACGTTGTTTATCATTTAAATTCCCTGAAGATAACACACTTTATACTAAGAATTCAGCCTTTTATAAAATTAGCACGGCACGGACTCTTCAGTTGTTAACTAATAGTAGTTTCTAATAGTAATAAATAAATAAATAACCCTGTAAACTAACCAGAGCTGAAGGGTTATTTCCTCCTGCATCCTACGAATCTAAGTTAAGTATAAATTATTTCGTCTAGATTCACAGCCCAAATTTTGGGATACAATCTATCGCTGTTTGAACACTTAGCGTGCATAATTTATAATATTATGCATTACGTGAACTATTATTAAATATGCCCCCTTTCTTTCCGGCTGCTGTTTGTGGATATATTTTTCAACACATAAATAAAAAATATATTAGCTCTCAATATATATTTTCTGAGGTAAAATTCTGCTTCTCACACATTTTGGCGATCTTCAAAATTAAAAATATTATTCCATTCAAATTATACTTATAGTACTTTAAAAATTATCAAGTTTGTCATACATAAATTGTTTATTGTTTTTACTTGTTTTCAGACTAACGCTCTACTTCGTTGTTCCTGGCCAACTATTTTACTTGGACGGTTCGAGAGAACGATTCTGGTGTTATTTTAACTATCTATTTCACTATTTGTTTTACGTATCGGTATCCTGCATAGGATATTTTACACTGCTTAACACACAGTGATGCTGAAAGTTTATAACATAATTCACAAGTGCTGTTACTGAAAATATTCATTTATTCTTCTTAAATTGCAATTTTTGTGTATATTTGTTTTATCGCTAAATAAACTTACTTTTAGCTAACGCAAAGATCTATATTATAAATCATACCATAATTTTAGACAATAAATAACACGTAAATGTTCCGAATACAAAATAAACAATGTTACTGACGCTAAAGTTAGATATTTTAAATAAATTAGATTTTGACACTAAATATTTATTACTACTGTTGTTTAAGGAAATTATTTTTATACTGTACTTAAAGTTACACTGACTATGTGTTTTCACTTGTGTTATCTTTCCAACACTGTCTTTCAACAGCATTACAAACTTCATGAACTACAATTACATAAAGCTAAATTAATAATAATTTATCCTATGTTAAAAATCATCACATTTAAAAACATTTTTATTATATTAAGTATTTACTGAAACATCATATGTCCAGAAATTTATGAAATATATGAATAGTGTCATAATATGGAAATTTTATGTGTGTATGTGTTTGTTTTCTTTTGTAGTATCCTTTTACTCATGAGCAATGTGAAATACCTTACCCAAATTCGCACTTTTCGTTCTATACAATTATCAAATTATTTTGATGTTGTTCCACAAATGCTAAGAAAAAATACCCATATGAATAAATTCATACAGAATTCAAGAAACGAAATACAATATTTTATTTTCTTAGTTTCTTACATAAGTTTCTATCAGTTTCGTTGCGGTCTTCCTGTTAATACTACTACACGTTTCGGTTGATCCTTTTCTTAAAAACATTTTCTGATTACTCAGAAATGTAAAAGAAAGTTCGTTTTCCATTGGACATTTCACTGAGTATTTCCCTTTCCTTGTTTTATTTACAAACTGATACTCACAATATATCAATGCAGAACTTACATTTTCTTGGCTAAATTCTTCTTCCATTATAAAAGAAGAAGAAACAGCATACAACCCTTCAAATACGACGACACTGTTATTATTGTAGCAAGGAACAATGTTTAATTACTAAAGCATAGAAAACAGATTGAAATGTTGAATAAATACACTGATAGCTATGTGCATGTCAGCAAATTTATTGTATATATCTGGTGGATATATTGGTATCTTTGTCTCGACATCTGCAAGATGTTTCTCCTAATCCAAAGAAAGATTGTGTTTTATCTCATCTTTATAACTATTAAACTTTTGATAAAAATATTTTTCTGTGATTAGCTTGCTAAACTGAAAGCGACACTTGAGTTATAAGATAACTCCATATATTAATTGTCAGGCATGGTGAACGTAATGAACTACACATAAATACCATGTTATGTTATCATAAATGTTTCACACTAATTTTCCTACTTAACAGAACGTTCGTGGTGATGCAGTTTATAATAATATAATTTTTGTACACTGGATACCACATTAAGAACAAAAAGCATGACATTGACTTTGAATAATTGTCAAATATCTGCTGATTGACTCAAGGCAAAAGGCTTTAAATTGTTGCCGGCCAAGGAGTACGAAATTCATAATCTTTCTGGAAAAGAAAAGAAAATCAAGTTTAAGATTTAAAACTACATAAATAATTTGAAAACATTTCATTTTTACTTTGTTAAAATATTTTATATAGTGTTCTAATTTTATATTGTACAAAAGAATAGAACTTACCCTTTATTCCAAACTCAGAATATAATATAAATATGCATGTATATATAATATCAAATATATATTTCACAACAATACTCGACATATTACTACCAACTACTCAATACTCAACTACAAAATCCGCACTAGTGATATAAGAAACAAAAATAAATCAACGTAAACTATGATGATCAAATATAATTGCATTCAACTAAAATTTTGCATTTTCTCATTAGTTATTTGTGTGTAGTAAAAGAGATGTTTCCACAAAATACTTCTTTACCAGAAAAGGTGGTTGTTAATGAACACATGTCGTTGAAAATGCTCAAAAGGTGGTTGTTAATGAACACATGTCGTTGAAAATGCTCAAAAGGTGGTTGTTAATGAACATATGTCGTTGAAAATGCTCAAAAGCTTTCAAGGCTGCGCAAACCGTCTTTAATGTTGAGCTGACAGACTAGAACTAATGAAACTAATCAATAGCACCCGCCGTCAATTCTTGGGCGAGTTTAATCGAATAGTAGAATCTCATGTCACTCGTATAAGCACACGTGGCCCTAAAGTGTGAAGGGGGGTTTTGCTGCTACATGATGCGAACCATGGATACTCAGAATTACAGTCCAACATGTTAATTGTTAGGCCGTCCCGGCCCATTTTTACTAGAATGCTCTTCATTTTTTCATACAATCTATGAATGTGATGTATCCATATAATCCATTGTTATAAATGTAATATTTTAATTTCTTATGCAATTTGTACATTTAATACGTTACTTCACTTTATCGTCATTACGTCGGTGTAACCAAAGAACCACCGTTTAAATCTACAAAGTAACACCAGGCTTGCTTTTAAGTTTAGATAATAGACGTATTCAGAAAAGTTGAAATAATTATACTGACTTCTGTATTGTAATATATTAAACGCCAATACCTACGTATTAAGCCCAGTGACGTAAACAATGTAGACTGTCTTCCACGTTGAGTATTTGGTGTTCTTTGAATTTTCCAAATTCCGGTATTTATAGAATTATAGTTTATTTGTTCGTTGTTAAACAAAAGGCTACGCATTAGTAATATGAAATCGTTATAACCGTGTAAATGACATTCAAATGTTAATATAGACATATACTCAAGCTACTCTTTTGATCCATTCTCACAATTTTGACACTCTATACTATAATATATTCGACTACCAAGAATAAACTGTTAATTTTTTTAAGATGCAAGATAGAAACCAACATTTGATAAATTCAGTTAGTTGACTGCTCATATAACTGAATTACAGCTTTAAAATGAGATAAACTAGCGAGGGTATAACCGCATTGATAAGCTATATAAATTGTGGCAACTATTTACCGTTTCATCCTGTATATATACAGACGTATACCATAGTTTATACTAGCAGAGACCCACAAAATATTTATTGCAACAATAATTCTTTAAATACTGGATTTCTCAAATAATACAAAATAATTATAATCATAGACACCAAAATCTGTGAGTCTACTTGTCTTAGGCCTAACAGTAGTCTTTTATTAAGTATGGCCTATATGCGAAAAAAAGAGATAAGTTAACACAGTAACTTGTGTATGTGTTTTGCTTTAGTTTAGTTAAGGCTAAACTTTACCGTACATAAAATTATAAATTAATAAACTTATAATGTTATTCTACGGCCTAATGTTAGACCTTTGATAAGCTTTAAATGCATTGTTGTACAAAATGACTACTAAAGTATATTTACATTCGCCCTTTCTTTACATTCGTTAAAACGAAGTGTGCGCTCATTTTCAGAACAGACAGAAACTGGATATCATTATAAAAGATTATGATATTTGTAACGATACAGTCACCGCTAGCGCTTATGCTTGACTAACATAGAATAACTTCACTCCACTGCGAAATTCAAAGAAGCCCCAGAATATCGATCATTCTTCCATTATCCCCAATTATTTCTATAGCAACCCCAAAGGAGTTCGTACCCGAAAACAAACCCCATTAGGACATCTGACCGCGTGTTAGCATTTGATCCCGCTAACTTGTAAATGGGGGAATGAACAAAATTTCAAACATGGCTCCCAGGATCCCGTGGAGGTCCAAGAAAATAAACGTCAATACCATATTCTGGTACAGTGACCCTGTAAACATGCACCAGGTCCCCATCATGCTTGGGTGACCTTTCAGGCGTGTATTAATCCCTTGACAGAGGGCTATGCCATATAGATAAACACATTCCCTGTACCCTTCGAGTCCGCCTGCCAAATTTGTGCTTGTTAGCTCCAAAACTATGGGAAAAGTTCTCAAACAAACAAAAAATCACCAACAAAGCTTGAATTAACATATGATAGACAAACCCTATAGCTTCCAATCCTATATTTAAAAGTATTCACACGAGTTGGATGTATTTTCAGTAAGATATACTCATATAATCACGCTATAGGCTAATACATTTACCCTCTATACAATAAATATTCAGACTTTCGTTCCTAATCACATATGTTGTCTCAATAGCGAATATCACAACTATAATATTATTAATGATTTAAATATTTTTGTTTTCTTCTATAGGCTACCTAATTCTCTTCATCCTTCCGTTCAGTTGGAGAAAGTTCTAACTATCCTTTATTTACTTAGTTGTGATCAATAATTATTTGAGTCAGTGAGTATCTCACATTGTCAAAGAGTCTTCTTGGTATATGTTTTTCATCTCATGTTAAATATTAATTGTTTTTAGCCTTACATTCATTTATTCTATACTTTAATACAGCATTTTTAGAATCTCCAGATCTCTTGGATGACGAACCAAAATAGTATGGCTTTGCCGCGTCTTTGCTGCAGTCGTTCCGTTTCCCTCGGATACAGTACAGTAATCGATTGTTCTTGTTATCAATATCTCCATTGTTGGTCCATTCCTCTGATTTATCTAGCTGTCTACATCGCTATCATCAAAGTTTTTCTCATCTTGTGCTTAGATGTTAGGCTTTAAGCACTTTTACGTAAATGACTTATTTTTCATAGAAAGGATGCAGAAAAGAAAAGAACAGCGAAAGAGCAGAAGGAATAGGAAGAGAAAGAGAGCCTGACTTATTTTATTTGGCTATACTTCTACGTCTTGGTAGTTAGGACAATTGATTCGCAAGCTGTGTTCCCGTTTCAGCCATGGTAACGCTATAATATGACTGTTAATCCCGCTATTCCTTGGTAAAGAGTAGCCCATGAGTTGGAGAGGGGGGTATAAACTACCTGCTCTTTTCTTAGTCAATTACTTCAAAGTTAGAGTTGCCTAAGTGCAGATAACCCTCTAGTAGCTTTTTCGCGAACTTTAAGAAACAAACAAACAAACTTCTATGTGTATTCAATACTGATTCACTTTCAAGCAGGCCCGGCATGATCAGGTGATTAGGGCACTTGATTCGTAATCTGAGGGTCGTGAGTTCGAATCCCGTCCCACCAAATATATTTGCCCTTTCAGCCGTGGGGGTGTTATAATATGACAGTAAATCCCAATATTCGTTGGTAAAAGAGTAGCCCAAGAGTTGGCGGTGGGTGGTAATGAGTAGCTGCCTTCCCTCTAATCTTTCACTGCTAAATTAGGGGCGGCTAGCGCAGATAGCCCTCGTATAGCTTTGCGCGAAATTCAAACCACTTTCAAGCATGAACAATGAGTTTAAAATGAAAGGTTATGGAACAGATATATTATATGATTTTAATATCCTTCACAGAATAACTACTTGCACATGGTCCTATCTCACAGAATAACTACTTGCACATGGTCCTATCATTCTACCATTCTCCTATCATTCTATCTTCTTTTACTTTTCTCTTTAATCCCTTCATATTGGGTCGAGGCGTCTCGTGATCTTTCTCCATTTAAATCTATCGTTCATCACACCGAAGTCTACTTGATCACTGTCCTCTTTAATACATCCCTTCCATCTTTTCCTCGGCCTCCCTCGCTGCCACATGCCTTTCACTTGCCTTTATGCTTTCCAGTCCTACCAATTCTTTGCAGATGCCCAAATCATCTCAATCTTAATTCCTGTAACTTCTATCTGATGTTACAAACCTTAACCTCCTGTCTAGTTTCTGCTTTGGCATTTCTGCCACTTCTAACCTTTTATGACGACACTCCCTCATTACTCAAGTCACTGTGTCAAATAGCAGGGCCAGCTTGACCATGCCATTGGCAATCGTTTATCAAATACCGTCCCTACAATCATTTGCCCCACCCCCTTGCACTTTGTAATCTGGCCAATATCACTCTACTCACCTTGCCGCTCTCCTCTACCCAGCCTCCTAGGTACTTGCAACTCTTCACTTGCTTGAGCTTCAATCTCTATATTCAGCTCAGTGACGACACTACCATCACTTGTTTAATCTTCATTCATATCCGCTCAGCGCTTTGTTCCAACTACACCCTATTCCCCTCAATTCCTCCTCTGAACCCGCTTCTAATACTATATTAGCATTCATATATATATATATATACGTATATATGCAAATTTGATAGCAAGAGTTTTGTCTTTTTTATTAGAATATACATCTTGTGTTTGCAATCTAGAATAAGCTTGATTTTGTTTGTGTGTATAAGTGCAGAAAGTCATTCAAAACTGGAACTTCTTATTCTGAAGAACAACTGCCCGTATTATGTTTTAGTACGAAAAAAAGAGCTATAAACTGTAAACAACATATCCATTAGATATCAACTTTAACCTTTAACAATGAATTGTAACTGTTATATATAAGTAGATATTCTACTGTTCAAAACAGTAGATTTAACTTACAGTAACAATTTTATACGGGTTAGTTTCAAGTTCGTAGCCATTACGGTGTTTACTAGGAGCAACTTCCTGTGTATAATGTTTGACATATGGTTCCGCTTCCTGGAGCAAAAGAATAAAACAAAATTCAACCAAGAAAACTCGTTTTTTTCCGCTAAGTTTCAATTCAATACATTTCAGGTCTTTATTTAAAAAAGTTGAAAAATACATGTTAAAAATATAGTTTGATTTTCGCCCATCAATCTTATAATAATTTTAATGCTACTATTTTATGTTACATATATATATCAGTTGAGAATGAAGTGAATGGGAAAATATATATATACAAATATTATACTCCTACTGGCAAAATAAATTAAAACAGTTTGATCTAAACACTTTGAATCTCTGCGAAACTACAAAGATTTTCAACGAACCAGAAAATAAATGCAGTGGTTTGATGATTAATGTAATTTATGTAGCTATTTATCTTAAATATTAGCAGTGCGTTTATATAAATATGAAAAAGATTAGCGAATTTTAACCCAATACAGAAGCGACAAGACAAGTTACACACTCAAAACATCAACAGATATATTCTATTAATGTTATCTTATTGACCAATATTCTGTTACAATTTTTTTATAATAATGTATTTGAAAAGCCGAGAAATGTGGCTGCCAATATTTTATTGGTGAGAGATCGAACACAAGCTATTTAATTTTCTCTGGTATTTATTTTATTTCAACTTTTCTTTGTTGAAAACGGTAAATATAGTGCTTTAGCAGCTTTTAGTCGGCATTAGTTGCTCTAAAAGTGAAAGAAAAAAGTCGTGACATTGTTTTTACGGATCTAAAATCTTTCCATTCTTTATGGCTGAACGGCAGAGCATCATAACTCAATACTAAAGGTACCTGTACCTGTACCTGATGATGAACGGCAGAGCATCATAACTCAATACTAAAGGTACCTGTACCTGTACCTGATGATGAACGGCAGAGCATCATAACTCAATACTAAAGGTACCTGTACCTGTACCTGATGATGAACGGCAGAGCATCATAACTCAATACTAAAGGTACCTGTACCTGTACCTGATGATGACAAAACCTTGTCGAAACGTTGTACATGTGCTGTTATGTTAAACTTATATTAAAGTTTTTCTTCATTACCCATTCAAGCCGTCTCCAGCCATTAAAAGTGTATGTATGTATGTATGTTTGTAATTAAGCACGGGTATACAGACATACCGCTGTGGCACTAGGGGGGGGGGGCGCTTTAAAGTGGTCTGTCATCCATTGTCAGTATCTGCAGTTGTTTCTTTTTCAATCCTTCCAACTTTTATGAAATCACATTCCTCTGAAATCATGTTATTCAAGCTTTTTTTGCCTTCAGATATGTCTAGAAAGATTTTATATTCTACTTCTGGAGTTGCGCAAGGTGACCAAGTTGCACTTTCAAATACTGAGCAGTCTTGTGATCGCTACAGGAAATTCTGCAGCGCCACCTGTATCTGGAAAACTCTCCAGTCAATGACACTTCAGCTTCTCCAGAGTCCGCACTTTGAACCCATAGTTTTAGTTACAATAAAATATTGGAACCGGTGCAATAAACTTCTCTTGATATATTACAGATGTAATCCAACACTCGAACGATCGATCACAATTTGAACCATTGTCAGTGCTACAGATATAATCAGTTCTAACACTTGAAAGATCAATCAGAACTTGTAGCATTATAATAGTCTTCAATGTTTTACAAAACAAAGACAAATCTTCTATGCCAGTAACTGTGGTAAACTAAGTCGATTGTTCAAACGATCAATAAACATTTGTGTGGAGAAAGCAACATGGAAAACTAAAAAAAAAATTTAAAATATGTATAATTCTAATTACTTACCCCAGGATACGAATTGTTCAATAACGACTCAAAGTTAGGTTTGTGATGATTGTTAGGGTCAAGAGGGGCACCACTGCCACCTCTACCCCACAAGGAATTCCACGTGTCTAGATGCTGTGAAATACAAAGAAAACTATTATTTTTTCAAAGCCTTTCTCTGAATATTACCGTTTAACTCTATTCATGTACGCAATCGTTTGAATTTTAGAATAACCCTGACCTCTTTGTTTTTGTGGTTAACTGTCAATTCTGCCGCAGTCCTGAAGTTTAGTTTGGGGGGGGGGGGTATCTCACAGTAGATTGTTTTGACAGAATCATAAAGATGAAATTGTACTTGTAATTTCACAGCCTCCTGCATTCTTTTTCGTCGTTAAATACCAACCACGTGGTGTTAGTTGACAATAGGTGTGATATCAGATCATAAGATTAGTAATAGTTTTAATACCACATCAATTGACAACTAGCATAACATGCTTCGACAATTAAGGCATTATACAAAGTAAATTATGCTTCTTTCCATGCTCTTAACGTTTATTTGGTAAATTGCTGCTACTACGCCATTATCATATATTACAACAATCTGAAGTTTCCATGAGGAATAATTCATCTTTAATTTACTACATTTGTCTGTTACTAAATACGGAATTAAAGATGTTATTGCCAGTTTTATTTTTGATGGAGAAATTTTCAATATTAATTTTCTTCATTAAGAGCATATTTGTTTAGTTTTATTTTAAATAATTTGCTATTATTCAGAAATTATTAATATATACTGGATGCTAGATCGATCATGTTCTAAGGAATCACTAGATGTCACCCTTCTTTTACCATGGAAACAGCTTCATTGTTAAGTTAAAAAACATTTTTCAACCGCATCTTTATCGGATACCACTGATACTTTTGCTTTGCATACAGCAACTTGCTTAACAGATACTGCACAAAAGTGACGTTAGTATCACATGTAATACTTCTGATGTTAAGTAGCGTTTTCATCACAAACCTGCTTTTGTTCACAAATCTCTCGTTCCTTTTGTTCCTGTCGCTGACGTCGACGAGCTTCTGCCTGTTGAGTTAAGTAATTATGGTACTCTTCACTTTGATCGGACTTAAGTCGTCTGATATCTAGTTTCTATTCATAGAAATAAAAAAAACAAATTAGCCAGATACCTTTACAGCAAAAACCTTTCAAAAGCTGTGTTTGTTTTCAGATCTATATAAGTAACTAATATATATAACAACGGTTGCTCATTTTTCATGCTCTAAAGTAGTTTGTATTTTTCTTTGGTGACTATTTTACATCAAACTATTTCACATAATATGAGAGATCAGACATTTGATATTTTCTTGTATTTACCTTCTTTGTTGTTGAAAATGATAAATAGTTTTAGTAGTTCTCATTGCTTTTACTCAGCTTTAAAGAAAAACAAACAATGCCTTGTATTTATATCTCTCCATCCTGAATGGCCGAACAACAAAACGTATGATTCAGTACACTTACTGCAGCGGTGACGTCAGAGACACCTCTAGAATGGTTAAGTAATTCGCCAGTTACCGGGTCTTTTCTCGGACGACCAACGGACTTTTCTCGAATCCAAGATACCACTTCCATCCCCTTAAAAAAAAGATTGATGTTTCTTTTTTTTATAATCTTACCTGTGTGTAATATACCATTTTCCCATCATTGATCAGTGTTGGTATTTTGCTTTTTATTTTATACTGTTTGAAACATACGATTTGTTTGTTATTTTACCAAGCACATTCATTTGTAGCATTGCATACACACTTAACGATAAATATATTTTATAATTTATGTAATTTTATAATTTATTTCTTAATTAGGTAATCACATCTTTTGCATAAAAAATGAACAAATCTCAAAATAGATCCATGTGAGATCTTGTATTAATTTATATTGTCCCACTCGACAACCTTAATGATGAAGTCAACTAACTAAAACAACACGTATGATATTACACTGGTGGCTACCAATATAATATACCATTAGGTATATATAATGCCACGTACACCAGATGAGCACCTACCGAACCTTTATATCATGTTTCTCCCAGCTGACAATCCCGCTGTTGATGTCCCCTCTATTCCTATTTATCTATCCCGATTCCTAATTTTCGCAATATCCATTGCCAGTTCCCCCACTATCTCCACTCCGTGACATAGACTGATCAGTATTCACCAATGTTTCTCCGGTTTTCTCCTCCATTTGCACATACCGCGTTTCTGCGTTTTCCACCTCATGTCCCGACTTGCTCGCTTACTCTCCTATTATTCTTTTTTTTCTACCATCTTTCTTTTTCTCTGTTAATCGCCTGGCGTAACCCTCTACCGCACCCCCCTCCCCGAGATCGGAATGAAATAACGTATGTACAATGCCACCTACAATTTTATACCTATCAATAACGATCATATTTTCAAAAGTCATTCTTAACCTGATGATGATCTAAGTAGATAGAAACGTTGTTACTTGTTTAGTATTTTAAATAAACGTTTTTAATACCCATATCAGCCGTCTCTACTGTATAATGTTATTTTTTTTTGGCCTTCATACAAGTATTAAAGTACATGTGAGTTAACTCATTACAAGCAATCGGTTTCGTGTTGTTTAATTTGTTGTAATCATTTAATATGCCCACTGTATTGCAATCGATTACTTAGGCAGTATATATACATGATTCAACAATGAAAACAATGAAAATGAGTTCCAATTACTTTACATAGGCACCAGAACTTTATTGAAAGACTTTCAATAAAGAAAGCTAAGATGGTGACGTTTCGGGAGTCTTCCATCTTCAGATAAAAAGGAATAATGGTTGCATAAGAAGTTTGATGTGAGTTATAAATGGTTGGTACTGGAATCTCATTGGTTGATTATGTTGTTCTGGTTTCTCTCTGGTTTATATGTGTCTAAACAACGGGTCTGTGAAAATTGTGTCGTTTTCCGTAGAGTGAATGTTCTTTAAACTTTCCAATGACTTTACTGTTTCTTTTATCTGAGGAAGAAGTATTGTTGTCTCATTTTGGATGATACAGAGGTAGAAGACGATCTGTTCTTGTCTAGGGAGGTTAGGTTTAGGTTTCTTGGTATTTCTGAGGAAGGCACAAGTCAGGTATCTAGATGTTCTCTTGAAGTTTTGACTGCATCTTCTAGTCTTTTAGAGTTTTGTTGGGGTAACAGCAAAGTTTAAACGTAAGTTTAGTATTTCTTGTTCTGTTTCAGTTAACAACTGGAACTGAAGCTGTGCACCATGACAGAAGTAATCGGTGCGCTGAGTATGATGAGTTTGCTGCATTTATATTTTCTTAAGACCCTGAAGTATTTTTGTATAGCATTTGTCATACAATGTTACCATATCTAAAGCTCTGTCAACTGCGGAGATTCAAGTATTACCAATCAACCCCAACCCACGTCAAACATCCTAACAAATGAATTTTACACAAAATGTAACCATTTCTTATTCTGACCTAAATACAGAAGATATCTGAAACGTCTTCACGTTAGCCTTCTTTATTGAAACTTTTTTAGTAAAGTTCTACTATTTCTTTAAGGAATTTGGCGCCATTCTTAACCTTTGTTTTCTTATGCAGAGATATAAGACGATCTATTCACCTTTTTTTTATGACAAAGCGAAGTTTATCGCGTTGCTGAAGATATATTTAAAATGTGAACATTATACGGACAGTGTTTAAGTTATTTATGTCAATACCTCTAGAGTATACACACATTAAACTAGATATTTAATGAAACATTTTTACGTAACATCGATGCGATTTTGCGAAAATTTCTATACGTTCAAATATTCATAGGAACGAAACTTTGAAATCATTTCAGTTTTACATTTGCGCGTATTAACTTACAGAATGCGCTTAGCTAAGAAATAGCGTTTTAAAATGGAAACCGAAATTTAGATGTGAATGCATATATTTTGTTATATACACATTAATAAAATTAACTCGTATAAATAAGAATATTACTTGAAAGACTTGAAGTTTAGAACAGCTTTATATTGACTCATTTATGCTATAGTTTATATATACAATTACATCCTAATTCATAACATATTGGTTCACTAAACATCTGAACTACTCAGAGATTAAAAGCAGGATGTAAGTAGGAATGATGTTTGTTGTTTAGTGAAAGTAATAACAATCTCTCTACATAAATGAAAGCAAGAGTTTGAAATATTTACATCATCAATTAGATGTTGTTTTTCCATTTTATCCCGGTTCTTCTTCTCTTCCGTTTTTTGAACTAAAAAAAAGAGAAACAAACTTTAATTATAATAAAAAGTAAATATAGTTAATCATAAGCCTTGCTAAAGATGGTTTATATGATGGCCTCTCGAAACATATTCGAAAGTACAGCTCACCAGACAAGAATCAGAGTCAACATGTGCAAAAACAAAATGTGAATCTCAATGTCTTTAAGTACGTAAATGATTAAAGTCATTTTTAAAATTACAAAGTGTTTTAGGTATCAGATGAAAAAAACAACTTCTGACTGGATCGAAACGTTTTAACCTATATTATAAACTTAAGAAATACATGCAGGTTTATCAATAATCGGTAAGAGTAGTTAATCCCCATTAAACTTTGTTCATGTTGATCTTTGGTGAGCGGAAGCGATATCCATAAAAAACAAATGTTCACTGTACTTACAGATTTCCTTATATGCCAAATCTAAAGCAAAAATAAAATTATTTTAGCTATCTTAGCAGTCTAACTTATTCAACATTACGTACGTAAGTCATGAAGATAGTTTTGTTTTGATTCTTGGCTCCTCCTTTTCGGATTTCCAGACATCGACCATCCCTGTAAGCATTCAGAAAATATTTAGTTTACAAAAATAACGTACTGACATTCAGTGAAATATGAAATATCTAAAATATCTCTATGCGACGGCTTTACAATATATTTCGATATTTTGTAACGTAAAATGTTTTTTATAATTATGAGTTACAAGCTAGGCCGATAGGTGTAATAGATATATTTGTTTCACAATTTTCGCGCAAAGATACACAAAGCGCTATCTGCAGATAGCGCATACTTTTGAATTGATAACACATAGGTAGGCAGCTAGTGAACAACGCCCACTATTATTGTCTGACCAAATAGTGGGTTTCAACAATCACACCCACAGCCCTAAACTGTGATGCGTGATTTTGCGTCACAAACAGCCCGATCCAACTGAGCACTGGACTTCACATTGTCCATAATAAATTTAGTTCAGTGTAGGATTAATCCATGTTGTAGTAATAATTTAAAATTATATCATTTTAGATTAAAGTAGAAAAGTGTGGGAAGTGTTAATTGTTAGGCTAGAAAGGTGAATATAAAGATTTTGTCGTAAAAGAATAATCCGATCAGAGTGACGTTGAATCAAAAAGGGTTAAGAAACATCATAATTTAGAGATTAAAGGTTCAGGTATGACGTTACGAAGACACAATACGAAAAAGGCTTAATTTTGTGTATTTATAACTTTTTGTATTTGAAAAAATCCCTTTTGTTGTTTTTAGGGAGAAAATAGAGCTTTCTTCTGTTCTTTAATTAGTTTTATTATGCAACTGAGTAAACAAAATTTACATTTTGCAAAAAAAAAGTACCAACCTTGATTTATTAAAAATATTTCTCACTTCTCAAGAAGTCTTGATAGAAATTAATAAAAACCCTATAACCAGAGCGCTTTTGAAAAGTGAAACTTTCTTCTTCAGGGGAAAACAGTTTGCTCCTGAAGAAGAAAGGTCCACCTTTCGAAAGCGCTCTGGTTATAGGGTAATTATTCATTTCTCACTCCTCAAGTAATTCAGTAGAGGCCCAGATTCAAATACAACTTCCATCAAGTAGAGTTTGATTTACTTCCTGAATCAATCAATAGAATTTTGATTATTAACTATTTGGATGTTCTAAACAAAGAAAAATAACCACTTTATACAAATAAACTTTTAATGAGATTCTCTAATGAAAAAAAAAGCCTTGAGATTCTTACGTACTGACATGAAATTTTGTTTTCTTGAAGTATGCGCTAAAAGTGGAAAATATTTTAACTCTCATTAATAAAGTAAAAATATATAATTTCTTTTATTTTCTGCATCAACTAAGAAATAATTCAGTTGTAAAATTTTGTAAAACAAACAAATGACAAAATTAGCCAAATATCTTCTTCCTGGTCCTCAATTTATTTATTTGAGATTATACTGTTTCAACTCAGTGTTTTCTACCAGTAAATCACGATACAACTTTATTATATGCAGAATTAAAAACATAAATACCATCTTCTCCATGAAATCCATCCCGACTGCTCTATTATCCTTTAAAGGAGCTCCAGCTCCTGGTTTTCCCCAAGGATTGTAATCTTCTTCTCCTTCGATAGGTGACGCTGCATTGTTTCCAGCAAAGTGCCCTAAATGGTTTACAGGCTGTTATTTTTGTTTGTTGGTTTTGAATTTCCCTAATTTAGCAGTGTAAGACTAGAGGGAAGGCAGCTAGTCTTCTTTTCGGCTATTCCTTTACCAACAAATTGTGGGATTAACCGTCACATGTTTGGTGGGACGGAGGATTCGAACCCGCGACCCTCAGATTGCGAATCGAGCGTCCTAATTAAATTAATTAAACAAATTATATATATACCGTAATTAGTCAGCAGTTTTTATTGTTAAAAAAAAGAACTCGTAGCTAGAAATTACATTTCAGAAAACGATATATATTTGTCACATGTAAAGGACAAAAGGAGATAAAAAGCACAACCTACCGGAAATTTCTGAAACCTCTAATGTATTCCGCAGACGAGTTTTAGGGTTACCACTAAGCGTCATTTGAGGTGCACCATTACCACCACGGTTACTCAGAGGAAGAGCTATCCCCTTAAATAAACACAGAAACGTTTCGTACAAAAATCAAGAAAACTAAAGTTGACCATTTAAATGTTTTTCTTTGTTACGTTTAATGTTTCTTTTCTTAGTTTTGCCCACTTTTTCATTTACATTTTATCCTTATTTTTCTTAATCAAGGACTATATTTATTTCTTCACAAAATCAATATTTTTAGAAAAAGCTATAATAATGACGGATAAACAAAGGAACACAATTAGAATTGAATTGAATTTTACTAGATGGTGAAACTTCGTGTAGTATATTCGTTTAACTTGTTTCTAAATATTATAGTGGTGTTCATATAACTTTTACAATATAATTTACGTTATTGTTGTTGGGCGAAGCATAACAATTAATGTTTCGGGCTGCGCACCGTACAGTTAAAGTTTGAAACGTAATACCGTTGAAAACTCTCCACACTCTCAGTTGTGAGCGAGTTATAATAGTGAGAGTTGATTCCGTTATTCGATTGTAAAATCCAAACATAAACCTTGTAGTGTTGGGTGCTTCTGGTTGACCGTCATTTTGGTCAATAGTTTAAAATTAGAAATGGTGGTTATACCTGAATTCTAGGAGTTTGTAGTGTGCCTATTTGCACATAAGGTGTTGTTCGGGTTGAAAATTCCAGTTCATAAGTTGGTTTTTTTTCAAATATAGAATAAATTAGTGATAATTTTTTTTAATATTTTTAGTCAAAGCATTATTAATATCTATAAGATTTTGTCAAAAAATATAAAGATATTTTTTGTAGTTAACAATGGTTTCATCATTTCTGGTAAGCTAGTTTGTTTGTTTATTGTTAACCTAATGAGAAAGATTGATGAAAATATACGTACTGTATCTTCTGAAGGACTTGAAGGTTCAAGAACACCGTGTTGAACGGAAGTTGAAAACTTGTATCTACGGACATTTCCCACTTCGTCTCGCTCAGGATTTCCACAACCTTTACCCCATGGCTCGTATTTCTTCTCAGCATAAAACCACAATACGTTATAGACAGTACAAAACAGCTATGAATCTGACTTTTAATTTACAAAATATGCTGATAAATCTTTTTTAAAGATTTAAAGATTTTTTAAAGTTATCTGTGTAGAGTTTATATATATATATCCTTAAATAGATAAATGACAAGACATTAATAAAACATTCACCTTCTTGATGTCATATGGAAGAGAAAATGGGTTAAAATAAGTAAAGGAATTACTTTGTAACAATAACGTTTCGTTTAGAAACTCTTTTTCTAAACTATAGTTTATTTGAAGTTTAGCCGATCTCATTAAATTATTATACTTCTTACTTGCTATAGTAGTTATTACTTTAATATCTTAACAAATGGACAATAATTGTACTTGCTATAATAGTTATTACTTTAATATCTTAACAAATGAACAATAATTTTACTTGTTATAATAGTTATTACTTTAATATCTTAACAAATGGACAATAATTTTACTTGTTATAGTAGTTATTACTTTGATATCTTAACAAATGTACAATAATTTTACTTGTTATAATAGTTATTACTTTAATATCTTAACCAATTGACAATAATTTTTAGAATGTTTTTAACTGTTTGTTAAATACTTGCCGATTCTTCTGACTCCATTTGTTGCTTGTTACTTGCCAATTGTTGTTCTATCTTTTTTTCTGAAAAAGAAAAAGTTTCATAATTATTTCAGGCAACATTTTTAAGAATTGAATCATAAAATTGACACAAGAAAAGTAAAACATAATTCTCTGTATATTTGACAACGATACCCACTATAAAGCATGTGGTCCTGACCCCTTGTATATTTGACAACGAAACCCACTATAAAGCATGTGGTCCTGACCCCTTGTATATTTGACAACGATACCCACTAAAAAGCATGTGGTCCTGACCCCTTGTATATTTGACAACGATACCCACTATAAAGCATGTGGTCCTGACCCCTTGTATATTTGACAACGATACTCACTATAAAGCATGTGGTCCTGACCCCTTGTAGTTCACATAACCGCGAAAATTATATTATACTATGAAATAGGTTTATGTCAAACATTGAATTCCTGCCTATCAAATCATTTGTCTCAAAGTGTCAAGCCAATCCCTTTTTCGGTTAAGTTTTGTAAACGTTTCGTGTCTTATTGGAATCCATTTACAAGCACTTGGAAGCCAAGAAACACAGAGCTTTTAATTTTTACAACGAATATTAGTTATTTTTAACTTTCATGCACTTTGTGTTAAATAGATATTAAGAACTAATGGAAAAACTGTATAATGAATTGAAGAAACCAACTTAATGCCATAAAATGTCGTTGTTATAAACGATATATAACTTTGTACCTTATCAATTCAAATACAAAATATTTCTGGGATTCTACAATCATTATTTGCCACTCATTTTTTTTTTCAATACAATTTACATTATTGTTGTCGGAACCCTGCGATCATTGTTTATCAGATATTCTGTTTAAATTAGAAAAAAAATATGCTAACAAGTCTAGATTCGATGCTGTAGGTGTTTCTTTCTCATCAAATAAGCATTTATATATTGTAATAAAGTGTTTATATTATCTAGATTCTCACCTTGTGTGTTATCAACATTGTCTCTGTCTGAATTTTTGTATCGAAGCTGATTTTCAATGCTGAGACGAACATGTTGGGCATCCTGAAACCTGATATCCGGATCTCCGGATATCTGAGTCTTTGTACGGCCAGATTTAGTACGAAGAGGAGCACCGGCTCCAGGCCTACCAAACCCAGTTAAGGTGTTCTGGGAAATTTAATAATTTCTGATAACATGCATTTCAAGCAAGAGCAAACTTAAGCACTTATATTCAGTAATTAAATATTTTTATATCATATCAGATTACGGTGATTACTTTATTTTTTCTTAAAATAAAACAGAGAATTTAAGATCACGGAAATATTGCATATGTCATCTGAGTAATATCTTATATTTATGCCTGGCATAAACATGAAATCCAATAACTGTTTATAACACAGTTATACTTACCCCTAAAATATCATCATTTGGTTGGTCGTTGCTGCCCATATGCTCTTCTACGATTTTGGTTCTTTTTGAATTTTGCTGAAAATATATCTTACCAATTATCAGAAATAACGAATAATTATATTGCTAGAATTATAAAATAATTAGTTCTGCCCACAGTAGTGGAATAATATTTTCAAGACTGAAATTATAAATAGAAAATTAAGCTGACAGAATATGGTACAGTTGTAGAACTGCCTTATTCAAATAATATGTTTTTCAGAAAGTTTTATATATATATCCTAGGCTTTCTATACATATATAATTTATATGTTACTCATACCTTGGTAAAGAGCATCTCTATAACTTATTTACTTGCCAAAAAAAAGGGTTTATATCATTATAATTATATTTTTAGTTAGTTTTGAGGTCCACGTTTTCCAATGTAACAATTAGAAGTTTATTTACGTTAATAAGTAAGTTAATCAGTTCAGACAACTTGATGGTAGCTGCTGTAGTTTTAATAATATGAACCACGATTAAATATCATGAGATGTGATACCTTAGTTTTCTGTATTTAGTAAAATGGCTTACCATTGGTGCTCCAGCCCCAGGTTTATTCCATGGGTTATAACTTTGCAACATTTCCATGTCCTGTAGAACGGTAAAAAGAAATCATACGTGACCGATTATAATAAGATGCTGTTTTTATAATATTTGTTTACGGTTTGGCTCTGGCATCAATACTAACTAAAATAAAACAAGTATAGTATTCAAGATCAATTAAATCAACTTAATTAATTAAATTAAATGTTTATATAAAAAAACAACATTAAAACTAATTTGTAAAAAGTAAGATTCATGTTAATACATTATAAATGTATAAAAAGAAAAGTGAACTGACAGAACTACATTTTACATAGATTTATTAATATAGAGTTAAAACAAATGTATGAAAGTAGTTTTGTTATTCAAATTCTTTGGTTTGATTGGTGGTTTCTTTTACATAATTCTATACATGTTTAATGGCATTTCAATTTGTTATTGCAATATTTTGTTTTGAGATTTTTAGCGATATGGTTACTAAAAGCTTTTATACAAAACATATTCAGAAATATAAGGTATAAGGCCAAGCCAAATAGTTTATTTTTACGAAATCATAGTTTTCTATCTACATTTTTATTAAAACTGAAAATACACGGATTTGTTTTAAAAGTATATTCTATTATTAAACATAGTTTATTAAAGTTTTATTTATCTATTTTCTAAGATCCTGTATATTTCATGGAAAGTTATTGAATGTTTCTGAAAGCTTATCCATTAGATATTTTTTGTTTTATATTTGTATTCCCCCTGATAAATCAAGCTGATAATTAAATACTAAACAACGAATCTGCTTAAAATTACAAGTATGGAATTTACATATATTGGCTATGTTAATTTTCTCAAAGAGCCAGAAGTACATGCATTATCATTTACATATCTATATTATACAACATCTTGAGTTGAAAGGATATAAGTTAAACAGTAGCAGGAACAAAGCCGCTTATATTTAAGGCAAAAATCTAAAGAGGAAATTTTTGGTTTCTTAGTTCTTTCAGGCAGCTTTGGATTTTTTTTCACGTTGGATAGTAAGCAATAAAGGGTCATTGTTAAAATGTTTAAATTTGGTAAAGTCGTTAAGAAACACCCACATTTTGTTCAAGTAGTCCTTCTTGTTAAGAATCACGATGGCATTGTGTTTATCGGACTGTTGTAACGTTAATATTTATATTTAGTGACGTACAGTTCTTTTAAGACTGAGAATTCTTCAGGGCTTAGAGGGTAAGGATGTCTCTTAGTGTTAAAATTATAAAAATTAGAAACAGCAAAGTTTTTTTTTTCTTAATGAAAATAGTTGGTTTGATCCAGAGTTCCTTTATCATAGATAGGAAGGTATTTCAGGTTTCTGTATAGCAATTCGAAAGGGTAAAGAAAATGAACAAAATTCGGTTTACGTCGTGGATGAGAGAAATTAAGACTTTTAGCTAGGGTGGATTTACACTGATTATTTAGTAAAATCAGGTCGTCAGGATCAAAGTTGGCGGAAAAGCTGTTAGCCAGTCCTCCCAGCTTCAAATTTTGGATATGTTCAAGACGGGCAATGTTTTTGTCGTTGCTTTAGCTTCACTTGCTTAGTAGATCGATGTAATCAACACTGCTAAAGATGCTTCGAAGGTTAGTAATGTACTTGTTGAACTTTTCAGAAAGCTGTCCGTTCTGTCGATGTTTCAGTCAAGTTCTTTATTCAACAGTATCTTTTGACAAATCCGATAAGCACACGTTTTTATTTTGCAAATTTAGTTTAATAGTTTAAAGTGAAAAACCTTGGAATGACGTGTTGGAGCTTGATTTGTCCTTTTCAATTTTAAATGAACAATGTTGTTTATCTTAAATATCGTTATCCTTTTTATTGTGAAACTTTGTTTTCCTCCGATTGCTAAGGTATTGCTTGTTATTAAAAATATTTCGTACCTGTAATCTGTTACCGTAAACAACTATTGATGTAAATACTGTTTCAAATGTGTTAGTTTACAGCGATAATTATGAACGGCATTGTTTTTACGAACCCGTCGTTTTTCCTCTTCTTTCTGACGTCGTTGAAGGTGTTTAACCATTTTCAGTCGCGCCGTTTCTTCTCCGACCATCTCGCTTTCCCTCTGGCGGCGTAAAATATCTGCTGAGCTGAGGACAACACGAGTTGGAATAAACAAATATAAAAATTTTCAACATCGAACACTTAATTAATAGTATACGTATATCCTCATTTTGTGTGTTTTAAGGGAATATATTTGTATTCATATAACCTCATGAATATTGCACAGTTTTTAATAATTGTATTATTATTACATGAGTTACAGTCGTCTCCCTACCTTTTGTTGAACTCTGCTTAGTTGTGTGGATATTATTACCCGAAACAAAAAGCACAAAACAAATACAGAAAGTATTCAACCTCGTATTTACTCTCTAGAAACAGGTTGTTACAATACATTTTCTAATAGTAGATTTATAAAATTAAAAAAAAACGACGAGTCGTCGGACCGTTTTTTTACTCTGTCCTTGTAAACTATAGATTTTCGTTTTTATTACTGTCTTTTCTTGACAATATGTATAACTCTCTTGCTATGCAACCTTGCTTCTTTGTGTAATCAATAACGATTTACTGTCTTTCCTTGACAATATATATAACTCTCTTGCTATGCAACCTTGCTTCTTTGTGCAATCAATAACGATTTACTGTCTTTTCTTGAGAATATATAACTCTCTTGTTATGCAACCTTGCTTCTTTGTGCAATCAATAACGATTTACTGTCTTTTCTTGAGAATATATAACTCTCTTGTTATGCAACCTTGCTTCTTTGTGTAATCAATAACGATTTACTGTCTTTTCTTGAGAATATATAACTCTCTTGTTATGCAACCTTGCTTCTTTGTGTAATCAATAACGATTAAATTTATCGTTCGCCTTCTTTAGGAAATATTTTCATTAGAGCAAAGTTTTTCTTCGGGTGAACCAAACTGTTTAGATGGTTTTTTAACTTTTAGGGTAACCATTAATTTCCAATGTTGGGGATCTTGTTTAGGTAGCATGTAAATTTTTTTTTTTTTGGGGGGGGGGGTTCGATGCTAGGTCACATATGTAATTAAGTCGAAGATTTAGATTTTTTTTATAAGTTCTCCAGTTCTCATCCTGAGCTGAACATTTGTTCTAATACATACCATTTAGTGTTTGGATAGTATTTTCTGAGGACTTACAACGCTAGAATCCGGGTTTCGATACCGGCGGTGGGTAAAGCACATATAGCCCATTGTATAGCTTTGTGCTTAACTTCAAACAATTTTCTGAGTAAACCGTTCTGTTAGGATCTTCTCATGTTGTCTGAAAGCTTATATGCATACTTCAGATATTAGGATTTAATTTATTTATTTTTGTGTAAATTATTATTTTCAGGGCTAATGAATGCATTTAACGTTATGATATCTTCCTGATTTTATTAATTAAAAAATATAATATTTTTACCTCATTTAAACAGATATAATATGCACAGGTCTGTTATGGCCTGATGGTTAGAGCACTCAACCCGCAATCTTCTGGTTGCGGGCTTGAATCTCCGTCACCGAACACCCTCGAGGGTGTTATAATGTGACGGTAACTCCAGCTATCCGTTGGTGAAAAGAGTAGCTCAAGAGTTGGCGGTCAGTGTTGTTGAATAATTGCCTTACCTCTAATCTGAATTAGGGAAGGCTAGCGGAGGTAGTTCTCGAGTAGCTTTGCACGAAATTCAAAACAAAAAGAAAAATAATATGCAAATGTAATACTAGTAACCCTTTTGTAACTTAGAAAAACAACATGTTTTTATTCATGTATGTCCAGCCATTAACTTTGGAACATTTTTTTATCGTGAGGTGCTGAAAACTGTTGAACAAAATTGTAACCCTTGTCTATAATAGAAACCACGCATTTAGTCGCTGTTATGTTAATAAAATGAGGTCAGCACCAGCTTGTGTTTATCTATGTAAGCAAAATAATGCTTTAACAACATTCGTTGCTGAAATTTTTACAACAGATTCAAGATAAAACGTTGAAAGCAAATACATTATCAAAATATTGTAAAACTTCCAGCAGATGCACAGCTACCCAGTACTTCAAGCCAGGGAATTAAATATACTGTATCTTGAGACAAATAACTAATTGTATGTGTTGTATAAGTAAGTTAACTTCTATTATTTCTTTAAGTTAGTTTCATTGCCATTATTGCTGAAAATATTTAATATATATATATATTTACAATTTTTAATTTTCTATTTATGTTATATATATATATATATACAATATTGTGAGGATTATTTTTCATTGCTAGTCTAGTATATGAATTTAAAACTAACCCAAATATTGTGCTTACGGTCGAAAATGTCGCTAACAGCGAGGGTACTCAAGTAATGAATCAATACGTTATAATCATTATAATTGAGAAGGTATTTTAAAATAGATATATTCATTACTGTATTATATTTTAGTTCTTATCTATGGAGGTAAGCCTGCTTTTAGAACTTAATGGTAATTTGATTACTTCTATAAATTTAATTTATTTCTTTGGTTGAAAGCCAATCAGCTCATTGAAAAAAATGAATGGAGAAAAGTACTGTCATGGGATCTGTTCTCAGTCCATAACCACTTTAATCTGATGTCGATATAACCAGAACCCCAGCAACGTATAAAATAGAGAAAGAGCACCAGATAGCAGAAACCACAAATAAAACACTGAAAACGTATAAACAAAGAATACCATATAGAAGTATTTTGAATGGAATGCTGGAAACGTATAGACAAAAAATACAACAAATATTTGATTTGTTTTTAATTTCGCGCAAAACTACTCGAAGGCTATCTACGTTAGCCGTTCCACATTTAGCTACTCTTTTACCAACGAATAGTGGGACTAACTGTCACATTATAACGTCCCCATGGCTGAAATGGCGAGCATATTCGGCGAAAGGATTAGAACCCGTAGATTGCGAGTCGAACACCTTCACTACTAGGCCTAATATAACATAGAATGATATACTGGAAAGAAAATTAAATGGAAACTTAGTGAATTATTTTATATTATTATTATTAGACTTATAAAAATGTATTTTGTAATTGTACTTTATAAATATATTTATTTATTCAGTAGTTCCAGGTCCTATTTAGTGTTGCTAGTTTTTTATTTAAATATAGAAACAGTATTTTACTTACTGTGCTCAAAGTACATCATAAAATTATGTGCATGATTATTAGCATGTGTTATGTAAGCCTATACATAATTTATCAAGCGCTTATGGTTACAAAATTCTGGATAAATACCATAATTATTCGAGTTAATTAGAGTGTATGAATACGTTATCCTGTTTACATGTATATGCTTATCCTATTTAGTTTCATATAAAATGGTCACAAACAATTGCTATTTACCAACTATGTTACAAGTTTATAATTATATATGAATAGAAGTACTCTAAATAAAAAGTTTTTTATGTTACTGTTATATTACTTTTTATTTTTTCCTCTGTAAGTCATCGTTTTCTATACGTTAGTTATCCAACTATCCTGTCTACACTTTGATCTGTTATAAGAGTTCAAAGCTTACCAATCACAATGTTGTTTTCCCCTAGTTAGAGATGATGCTGATACTAAAACAAATATTTCACTGCATGCGTTCGTCTGTTTCCATAACAACTAAGATAAACTTATAAAAGTTGATGTCATTATTTCGTGAAAAAATATATCAGGCAGGTTTTTCTACACATTTACCTGATATAACAAATAAATACACGCGATTTCCTTAGCTCATGTACATTCAGTAATGACTTCACGTGGTGCATAATGAATTAAATGAGAATAATTCAGTGTGCTTGGGAACTTTCTGTTTCTATGTGTATCTTGCAATTTTTCTTTTTTTTTTTCAATAAGGAATAGTTTTGTTCTTTATTGTACGGGAGTGAAACTAACAGTCAGATTAAGTGTTTGTCAGAGTTACGTGAATCATACACTTGATAAGCTTTAACAATAGGTCTCAAGTACAACTGCTTTGAACTACTTGATATCCTGCTATATAATTTATTATTCGATAACAACACAGCTTCTCGGCCATCTTTCTTGATTGATTGTTTGTTTGTTTGAAGTTAAGCACAAAGGTACACAATGGGCTATCTGTCCTCTGCCCACCACGGGTATCGAAACCCGCCATCTTTCTTGAGTCTCAACACTAAGTAAGAATTTAACTAGCGAGTTTGTACATAATTCCTTTTTTCTAAGTTAGCAGTCTAATACTGTAAAGGTTAAATAATTTTGATCAGAGTTTCTATCCATTCAAATTAATGTTGACTTGGGTTGCTGTCAAACTTTCATGAACATAAATATAATAAAGATAAACTATGAACCATTATGTTAGGGTTAAACGCCTCAGTCCCAGCACTCCATCGAGATCTAATGGTATTTGTATTCTCAAAAAAAAAATAATAATAATAATAACACATCAACATAATAATGCACAAAAAACAAAGAATTAATAAAACATAAAAAACCCGATTACTTTTCGACTGGTCATTTTTTCTGTTAATTCTTTGAACCTGTGTGCATCATTATGCTTATTTGTTATTATTGTTTTTGTTTGTATTTTTTGTGAATTTGCACAAAATACTTCTCCTTCTTTAAATATTTCGTGTCCGTATGTCATTGAGATTAAGCAGTTTCACCGAAGTTATTGTTTATAATTTAAACAAATAATTTACCTAATTGATTAGTGAATGTCAGTAATAATTAGAAAATAAATGTAGAACAATCCCACTGAGAAATTGTGCTAATTATATTTTCATCATGTGGTACTAACACAAGTAATTACTAATAATAAGAAAAATATATATATAAACAATTAAATAGAAAAAGGCATTTTTAAGTTAAGTGTAATTTTTAACAAACAAAACTAAAGAAATGGAGCTCAGACGTCTTCTTTGGTCTCATTCTGCTAAGTGTTTTTTGAGAAAATGGACAACATAGCTAAAGAAGGTACATTTGCTGAGCACAATTTCTAAACTCAATAATATAAGATGAGAAAATTTTACCTCATGTTCAGTTGATGCACGAATACTCTTGACATCCCGTTACTCTTGTTTAATTCCACACCATCTAGTAGTAAAGAGACATAAAAATACCATAAACATCATTATCTCTGTTAATTCAAAAAATAATATTTTCATTATGTTAAGGAGCAATTAAAAAAGTAATTAATCCATCCTTATTAGGGTTACAAAATTATTATTTTTTTCAAATACGTTTAAATTTAATTACGAGTGAACTCAATACTTATTTTTTTCTATTTCAAACCCTTATTTTACACAATTTGAAAAGAAAATTGATGAAAATTTTGTCAAAAACAGAAATTTATTATTTATGAGCTCCCATTAAACAGTGAATTATCATACCTCAGGATCTTGGTACATAAAATACGATATGTTTCTCTACAGAATCATATTACGATTAAAACATTATTACACGAGGTAAACAGGTATTATTTACTTTGTTATCTATACAGCCTTACATGTGAAAAATTCATTACTACTCCAGATCTTAAAATAAAACTTATTGAAATACTTTGAAAAGTGTTAATATTTACACTACTAATTTTCATGTCCCCCGGTGGGACAGCGGTAAGTCTTCGGGTTTGCAATGCTAAAATCGATGCGGCTTTGCTATAAGAAAACACACACACACACATTAATTTTCATGTCTTTGTTTCTCGTTTTTACCTAATCCTTCCTTCTTTGACTTTGGGTTTTTTTGTCGCATGCTAGAATATGTGTAGGTATGTACCAGTAAGATGATTCGGGCGTAATCTAGTATTTTTACACACATTCTAGTCCTATTATTCTCACATGCAGACTATTCTTTTAGTTTAATGAGAATTTTCGAACATTTTATATACGTTGTAGTCAAAGCAGTCACAAAGCCTAAATCTAGGTTTAGCATACGCTTTGCATTAGGTTTGTTCAAAAATCTTCAGCAAGCAACATGTCGTAATAAAGTCAGAAGCAAGATAAGATAAAACATTTAGTAAAGTACAGGAATAATAATTTCATTAGATAAAAAAGGAGAATTTTTATAATGAATTAAGTTAGCGAAAGTGGCATATTAGTAAACGTGTGCGGTAACTACAAACTTGTGAGTAATAAATAAAACACTGGTTAAAAACTGTGGAAACTTATGTGTTTAAGCTTGATTTATTTACATGTCATAACACAATAAGGCTATTTACCTCTATTCGGACTTTTTGTGCCACTAACTTTTAGTAATTATTACTGGCTGGTTAAGGTTTGGTTGTTTGTAATTAAGCACAAAGCTACACAATGGGCTATCTGTGCTCTGCCCACCACGGGTATCGAAACCCGGATTCTAGCGTTGTAAGTCCGCAGACATACCGCTGTGCCACTTGGGGGCGGCTGGTTAAGAAGCAGGGATTTTAATTGTATTTTGTTTTGTAAGTTATTATCATTTTGAATTTAACTTCAACAAATATTTGAATTAATCCGAAAAACTTGTCGAATGTGTGTGTGTGTGGTGAGACTGGATAGCTCTAAAGGGAAGTAACTTAACTATCGTTGTCATTTTTGGTATTTCTGATCTCTAGCTAGGATTTAAATATATATATCTTGCTTCATATCTTATGTTAGTTGGCAAATATCATTTTATGGGTCAATAAATCAGTCGGTATGACGCAGTTTGAAGACAATATATTTCTCTGAAGGATCAGCGAAATACAAGCTGGAGTACATTATAGAACAGATACTGAACTTATCTAAATGATTACATCACGCAAGCACTTTTAATGGCTATAGTAATAAAAGTTACTTCATCATAGTTTCTGCTAAGGAAGTACATTTTTCTTTGTTGTTTTTGTTCAAATAACTTTGTTATATTGAAAAGGAACAACCTATACTGGCAAGATGTAAATATGGAAAGGTGCAACGAATATCAAAGTTAACTTTTGGTATAGCCAGTAAAATATACTAGAGTAAGTTTCATCCCCTGTATAATAATAATACAGGCGATTTTAAAGTGCATCAAGACAGAATTTCGGAATGAATTATATAAAAGGTAAAAAAAAAAACATATAACCAAAGCTTTTTTTATAAATTATTCAGATCAACAATAGGATTTATGATTTTGCAGAATTTAAAGCAACTCTGAAAAATATGAGAATCTGGAACTTAGCAGCAAAACAAATAGTAAATAACTGAATCTGAAAGGTACGACTCACTTTCCTATCGTGTGACGTCATTGGTGTGAGAATAATCCAAGCAGCCCAAACAGTATGTTTAGGGAGGTTGGCCATGAAGGGAGCCCAATTTATTCTACTTTCCTATCGTGTAACGTCATTGGTGTGAGAATAATCCAAGCAGCCCAAACAGTATGTTTAGGGAGGTTGGCCATGAAGGGAGCCCAATTTATTCAGAGTTAAATTAGAAACAATTCAGCTTGCTTATGGGCTTTTTGTATACATACATATATATATATATATATAATTTGTCATTTTTGTTAAAATTTCACGTTAACGATCTGCTTTCGAGATTATCTTTACTAAATTGTCCATTAAATGCAATTGTGTTACACACACAATGAAAATTTGAAAATATGTATATAAGAGAAAAGTAGTTTTTGTAACTGACGAATCAATACTTCTGAAACAGTTTGTGGATGAGGAGACAATATCTTCTAGAGCTGGTGAAAATAAGTCTTACTTTTGACTACAAATACCTTGGTTTTCAGATGACATTGGGAAAATTTGTGAAGCGAACATGGAAACTTTGTGTCACAAGCAGAGCTTTAAGTTATATTAAATCCCAAAATGATTCGATTCATTGCCATCCCAGAAATAACTTCGAAGTACACTAGTACACTATTCAAAGCAAACTGGTAGAAACCTTTATGCCTGTAAAGTGAGATTATGATCCAAATTTAGGTTTTATCATGTTACACTATAATCGTGGATATAACACAAAACGTTTTAGATCTTTAACAGTTAAGTCTATATTCAAATCACTAGAAACAAAAGTGTTCGTTTACACTGTGGTAGTGTCTACATTTTGCGGTCTATTGAATAATTTTAATTTGTTTTTGTCTGTTACAAAACTTAGTGTCAAGAACTGGCCAAACATACTGGGCGAAATTACTTATTTTTTATGTAAAACACATCGGGATCCCAGAAGTGATTTAGTGGGATTAATTAGGATATTAATGGCATTTGTGTTTACATTTTTATGTAATTCATATATTAATTTACGGAACTCTGTAATTAACAAAGTCATAGAAACACAGGCAAGTTTGTGCACAAACAGATTATAGAAATGTGGTTAAAAATCCGATGTACCCCAAAGATTACTCTAGGATATAGGCTTACAGGAGTTATTGTTCTTTCACATTGTTTTAGACATTTTACATGTGTTTTCTCCAAAGCATTGACCGATGGGATATATTATCAATATTCATGAGTGACTAAGATGACATAATGAAAAACTAAAGAAAACTAACAACACTGAAGGAACCAAAATATCAGTTAAAGGTTAAGTATTTAATAATGGTGATTGCGAAACTTGACGTACGGTTTCGAGGATTGAATTCTGTCGCACATAAATTTGCTGTACTTGAACAACCACATTAAACGGTGCTAGCGACAAAGGACACAAAAGCACTGCGCCATCAGTGCTCAAAAACTAGCTTTACCACTTTTCTCTTTTTATATCGGGACATTTTGAAAGGAACTTGGTTATGAATTTGTTGATTTTCAACAGTCAAGTACTTTGCCATATCGTCAAGGTTTGCTGAAGTGTTACTATTTCCAATAATAACAGTGACCTTCGCGAATACGGAGAGATCGTTTTCTACATTACAAATAACTAACAAATACATCAAAAATACAATGAGTCCAGAAGGATAGAAAGGTTGAGTTGTAATGGTTGAAGCTGCACGCACGAAAAAGATGAAAACGATTTAGAACTTCGTGCAACGAAAAGCCCGTAAAACACAGAATAGATTAGGAATAGCTTGGTGAGTATTCTAAACAGTGATTTGCTCTAATCCTGAAGTGAATTTAGTTAAAAGTAAGTATGTTCATTCTGAAATTTAGCCCAAAAGATGTATAGTTGAGACACTGTAAAAATTTAAACGTTTTCCAGAACCGAAGCGACCAAACAAAGCGGGCACATAAAATAATGGAGAAAAATACACTTTAGGGTTCATTAGGGTAGTTTCAAGTTCTTCACGAAAGTAGAAACATTTCTTTGTATATTTATATATATTGGCAAATATAACACACATCTATATTCTAAACCAGTACATCAAATGAATATTTTTATAACCTTGTTTCGATATAACTTGTTTATAATTCACCTATTTTTAGAAATCCGTGGCTAACACTAGGCATGTTAATATTGATCTTGGGTGTGTTTGAAGCTCACTGTCATGCAAACAGTATACCTGTACAATGACACCTCGGTCGCCATGTATATATTAAGTATGTTTTTCACAAATCTAAAGATGTGTACTATGCATCACTTAATGACCTAGAATTTTGCTGAAATCATTTGTAATTCACCAACTCAAAAGTATTTATCCTACTGAACTTTTCAGTTAGTCACTACCAAATCCTTGAGTTGTCTAGTTAGAACAAATGTAGTTTACAGGTTTTACTTGTTTTTAACGAAATGTTTCCAATATATTTCGTTATTTTTTATACGCGTTTTAAATTTAGTTTTTCACTGAAAACGTAGTTTATTACTAACAGCCATAAATTCACTACTTAAATGGAATATTTGGTGATATATAACACAGTTTCAGTATAATAACGTTTATTTACTTGTAATAAAATATAAATTTGTATCTTGTATAACAGGTAAGTTCTTCAACTTTATATTTTTTAACAAAAGTTATTTGCAAGCTGATTAAATGAGAGTTTTTTTGCTTTTTGAATGCTTGCTATTAAAACTTGGTTGGTTTTATATAAGTTGAAAATATTTGACATCCTTAGTATTAGTTAGTAAATGTAGACGAGTTTCATAAATTAATATTAATAGACAAGTGTAGGAGTAGATCAGTTTATGTAGTTTTGTTTTTAGTGCCCTACAAGGACTTATTATGGTGATTTTGATTGCTATATTTGTAAACAAGAATGATTTAGAAATTGCTTTACGTAGTGTACTTTACTGGCAACTAACAAAATTTAAAAGTAGTGTCTTCTACTTGTAACTAATAAAATTTAATGTAAACTTAATCCTATGTACAGTTAACATTTTATGTATGATGAATCAGCAACGAGGTATAAGTTTCTAGCAATTTACTTAATGTATTTGGCGACTCTAGTGGCAAAAATTACTGAATTAATGTTTTAATATTTGTCATCAAGTTTTACAAGAGTATGCACATGTTTCGGTGAGTTTCGTTAAACCACTGAAAAGATACAAAACTTCTCGAGCGTGAACAATTTGTGTCTTTAGGGACCTCTGGTGACGCCTTGAGTTGAGAAGTTGAAAAAATTATTTTCATGTGTTTCTTGAAAGGTGAAATGTGACGTCACAGTGTGAAGTTTCGATGGACACATACAATGTAAAATATATAAGTAGACTCCTAATATGTGATTCTTTCGATAAATAAATCTGATAAACACTCTGTTCTTGTTTTTCGTGTAAAATATACGTGTTCAATTTAAAGAGAAAACATTAAAATATTCAGGTGTTAGAGTAGTTCTTAATTGAAAATATTTTGTTCATTGAAGACTCTATGTATACTTTATAAGGGAACTTTATTTTCATAGCGAACATAATGTAATTAGTTTTTAATAAATTGTCCATAAAGAGGGTTCCCCGGTGGGACAGCGGTATGTTTACGGACTTACAACGATAAGGTTCGCTTCCCCTCGATGAACACAGCAGGTAGCCCAATATACCTGTGATCTAAAATAGACAAACAAGACCCTAAAGGATAAGTAGTATTTTCTACTCTTAACTTTAACGAAGAGTGTACAAAATACAATGACTTTTCTCTTTTTGCAAGATTCGATGAACTTTTGCGTAACATCGATGATTTTAATTCGCTATTAAATTTGTAACAAGTAAAGCAAAACAAAAAAAAATAGCTTTAAGTACCATAAATATTTTCAGGGAAAATACTCCAGGAATTATTTTATATCTATATTCTAAGAACATAGAAAAAAACTGAAGCTTTCTTTGATGGGGAAATAGGTCATATCACCACCTCTATTATTGTAACACTTGGTTTCCTTAGCAACGAAACGAACACAAACCCAGGTTACTCATTTTCTATCGACAACAACATTATAAATATCTCTCAATTTCATTCGTTTCACAGAAACCCAAACTGTGCTATGTTATTTTGTTTCGTATATGGTAGCCTAAAGGTTTTCATTGCATCGTCGTAAAGCTGAATCAAAAGCTAGGTAACATCTCAAGGTATTTATTCAATAAGGAACATTCACTGTGTATTAAAATTGTATAGCAACAAGTAAGTTTTCCATTAAATCTGAGGATGCTGATATTTCCTACCATTAGAATTGGCAAGATTTGTTTATTTCGCAAAATGTCCCCCCCCCCCCGATGATTCAGCGGTAAGTTCACAGACTTACAACACTAAAATTCAGGGCTCGATTCACTGCGACGGACAGAGCACAAATAACCCATTCTGTAGCTTTACGCTAATAAAACAACAACGATTTTGCAAGACAAGTTTTCTACTCGGATCATGTGAATGGATTCGTTTTGATACGTACATATATAAACTACCTATTCTTCAAATATCAGGTGGCTGCTGCATTTTATCCGTTTCATTGCTTCTTATCTTTGTGGAGGTTTTTTGTTTCTAAATAATTACTTGTTTTTTCTATCATCATAAATAACGTTGTTTTCAAAAGAAGCTTAAGAATTGTTGCCCGTTTTTTCACGATAACGGTAGTGTGGTTTCCTACTAACATTATTAAGAATTGTGTTAGTTTTTTACAATTTAAATATTTGTCTTAATATCAAACACTTTTTGTAATACCTGAATAACTGTATAATAATTTTTAAGTATCAAAAATGTCCAGAAGAACAACCTTCAACAAGAGTTCTATTTTATACTTTGTTTATAAAGAAGATGTGGTACAAAATACTAATGATATGGAAAAACCAAACAATATTATTTGGCTACTTATATTTAAAAATAAACGTTATTATAAAATTTCACATCGTTAGCAGCAACTTTAAAAAATAAACTATGTTATATTATTTTTACCTTCACTCTTGATAGTAATTTTTCTATAAATTTAATCAAGTGGATCAATAGTGATGAATATTTTTAACCAGATTAACTTTCGTTTTTATATTGTGACAGAATAATTCACATTAGATAACGATAAACATTCCATAAATAGCGCGAAACTTTCAGTTCTGAGAGGTTTCGTATGTCCTGAAGTGTTCTTAAAAAGATGAGCAATATATTCTCTAGTTATGTATAGAAGATCTCGCCATCTCTCGACAGGCAGGTGAATTACGTAAACATTTTCAATTCTATTATCAATTCTAAAACATTTAAAACAAGATACTTTTTATCAGTTAATACAAACTCATGAAATATATTATAAAGAAATATGAAATATAACATAATAACTCTTAGATTTTAACAATTAGCAGCTTTATTACCAGTGTGAAATCGTTAAGTGAAACACTGTTAATAAAGTCGCGTCAAAATACTTTAAACATTTCAAAGATATGACAAAATACAATAGAAATAACGTGTTTTGTGGAGTTCTAACTTACTATATTAATAACACTGTCCATTTGATACTTCAAGGGCTGTAAGGATCGCGCCCTGGAAGTTTGTTTGCATCTACCAGCTTTACTTCAAGGAATGTAATGATTTCTAACTCACCGGTAAAAGTTGGAGACGTCGGTGACTGTTCTGTTTCTTCGACCATGCTTATAAGTAAGTTCCATGAAACAGTTTCATGCGGTATGTTTTATTGTCACTAATCCTTTATATATTAACTTATGAAAACAACCAGGTTTGTTTGGTATTGAAATACGCAATTTCTGTTAGTAAACGTTTTACCTAAAGAATGCTTCACCGTGTGTAATAAAATCATTATTTTGTGATTGGCTGTTTATGTCACGTGGATTCATACGTGCTATGAGCTTGCGCTGTCAGTAGATATAAATAATTATTATGAAATATTTTAACAAAATATATTTCCCAACGATACCAGTAATTCCCCGAAAGGAGCAATACATTATGTATATATATATATGTGTGTGTATATAAATATACACGTGTGTGTGTGTGTGTATATATATATATATATATTTAACTGTTAACTTTGTAGTAGAATACGTCTATTTTACTTAGATTACATGTCTATTTTATGAAGTCTTGTTTCTAGGACCTACAACACTTTGATATTCATAACTAGTTCTTAGTAGTTTGCTCTGTAGGTTTTTCTGCTTAAAAATCTTACAAATAATTGAATATAACATATTTCCAATATGGAGATGAATTACGTGATGGCGTTTCTCGTCTTGTCTTGTCATGGTCAAAATCATTAAAACGGAAACACAAACTACCATTTTGAAATAATGTTGTTGTTGTTGTTTTTTTTTTTTTCCTTATCATCCAAGCTGTATTTCTGGGAGCATAAAAGAAAAGAGAAACCAGTGTATTATTGGATTTCCACTTATCACTGAGTCAGATCAGTTTCAAAGAATAACACCATTATTATTAACCCTGAACAAGGTGAAACCAAATAACAAAACAAAATCTCCTATAGTGTTGAACTGGTTCCGGAAATGTTCTTTACTCTCTACAAATATCCTATATCTATATATAACAGATATTCATACTAGTAAGAGAACAAAATATTTAATTTAAAAAATATTTTTTTCTCCACGCTAAAATGTTTAGTGATATAAAACTTCACAGTCTACTTTCGTGCTTTTCGATCTCATAACACACAATTGTACCGTTTACTATATGAAACTAAAGTATCATGTTGAGGTTTCTTGTTATGTCATGATCAAATTCAAGTAAACTCAAAGTACTTGCGAACAATTGAAAATAAAAGTAACGAAGTAAGATGTATATCGCTTTTCCTGACTTTAAGATATTTCAGTGTATGAGTATTTTTACAGTCAAAAGGGTGATAAATGTAACAGATATCTCTATTTCTAGGCATCTAGTATCTTGGATATTTCATTTACATATTATATTGTTTTTCATATTTTAATCATTTAATATGCAAGACTTATATAAGTTGTTGTGTTCGTAACAGCTTTGATGAGCTGATGGATAACTGTTAGGCCTTGTTCTATTTCATAGTTAGCTCATGTGTAAGTCTTGTGTATTAATCCTTTTCCCACCATTGCTTGTCTCTGTCACCTATAAGTTTCACTCTTCGTAGTTGTTTTTCATTTTTGGACCAGCGTGTCAGATACTAGAAGTTAGGTTTTTTATATTATTATTTATTTGATACGGGGCGATTATTAAGAAAAACCCATATTTAAAAATTATATTTCAAAAACTATAGAAACATTGAGAATCATGGGTTTTATTCAAGAAAGTTTGGATGGTACAGAATGTTTCACAAATTGCCACAGACATTCATTATACTTTCCGCCAGGAGGCTGACTAATGTTCAAAGTTTATTTTAAACACTAAATAATAGTAGTTCCTTTAGCCTCTAGAGTTCTGACATCAGCACCATTGAATAAAACCTTGAAGTCTGAGCAAGAACATTCCATCAGGCAGTATAAAATACGGAAGTAAATGTGCGAATACGTTTTAATGAAACACATTTTTTTTCAATTAATACAAATTCAGGCTCAAATTAAATGAAATAGGTTGATGCATCACTCGTTGAATACTGTTGAAAGTTTAAACGTGGATATTGTGAGTTTAATATCATGTGTATGTTGTTGCATAAAATCAGTATTAGAGACATGGAGTAATTTGAATTCTGCTATAAATGGAGGTGTTGTTTGTTGTTTTTCACAAGATCAAAATTATACCCCACGATCGTTTTCAATTATTTTTTATGATATTTTACACCGGAATGTTCTTGAATAGATTTTGTTTTGTAATTGCTTATATAACTACTAAATCACGAAAAAAATGATTTTATAGGGTCATTTTCTACAGAACTTGATGTTGTTTTGGCTACTTTGAAATTCAATAATTGGAACAATATTGTTCTTTAATATCATACCTTCAGTTTCATAAATATGATAATAGAAAGGAAAAAAAGTCTATAAAAAAACAGAAACTAAGTGGTAATTAATTTTATACAAAATACATGACTAGAAAGAGTGACAAAAATTTAATACTATTTAAGCATATCTTACATATTTACTTAACCATCGCTCTCGTAACACCTGCCACTAGATAAATACAAACAGTAAAAACTTTCACAGGAATAATTTAATAATTAAAATAATGCATACATTTGATTGTATTCCTATGACTTCTGTGAATACGTAATATGTTTCCATACAGAAGATTGTTTGTTTGTTTGTTTTTGAATTTCGCACAAAGCTACACGAGGGCTATCTGCGCTAGCCGTCCCTAATTTAGCAGTGTAAGACTAGAGGGAAGGCAGCTAGTCATCACCACCCACTGCCATCTCTTGGGCTACTTTTTTCCAACAAATAGTGGGATTGACCATCACATTATAACGCCCCCACGACTGAAAGGGCGAGCATGTTTGGTGTGACAGGGATTCGAACCCGCGACCCTCAGATTGCGAGTCGAGTGCCTTAACTACCTGGCCATGCCGGGCCCCATACAGAAGAACGGGGATGGTTGGGCACAGGTGATAACTTTCATATGTTGAAGTTGGTAGCTGTGATATCATGACTGACGACTGACACATCCGAACACGTGTCACTTGCTGTTTTAGCTTCATTGTGATTGGAAGCCTTTGTCAGAGTATAAATTTATATTTTCACATAAATAAATATTATCTACTGCAAATATTTTGTTATGTAATATTAAACACTTTGTTAAGAGAATTTAAGTTACATAATTTTTGAGAGTGCATTCTTTCGGCTATATAATGGTACATAAGTTTGTTTATAAGCATGACTGGGACAACGCAAACAAATTATTTCTAGCAAAATGGCGACTTGAAGCAATTGACACGTTTCACTTAGGGCAAATTGACACGCGTGTCAACCAGCCCCACAGTGAGAAATTTGCATGTATTTCTTTATGCTGTGAAAACAAAGATAGATATAAAATAAAAATATTTAAATACATTTTGATTCATTTTTAAATACTGAAAAATTAATTAAAATTCTTGCATCTTCTTCATTATTTTCTTGTGATATGATTTCTAAACTTTCAATTCCAAACTTTGTTTGTAGGCATTACGGTGAGAAACAGTTAAAGTGTTCTTTTATTTAATTTACTTTAATGTGCAATAAACATGTCAATATAAAGTTATTTGATTTAATTTCGTCCATGTCAACTTGCCCCGTACTCGGAGGTAGGATGATATACAGAGCACCGTTTTCTATTATATTTATTTCTGAGAAAATTTAAATACATAAATACAAAGTGTCTGAGTGTGACACTTAACAGTGTCTGAGTTTCATACTTAACAGCATTTAAATACATTTTGATTCATGGAAACAACGCCTCTGTAGCCACAAAGAATATCAAAGTGTCAACTTGGATTCAGCAAATTTACTTCAGATGACTTTAGCCTTTAAAACTGTGATGGCAGGGACCGACATGTTGGAATTGGTATTGATGATCTGAAGACGCCTGTTGAATTTAACCCAACGTAACAAACTCGTGAAATGGCTCTGAAATTGTATGTCTATCATGAAACAATGCGTAAACATCTAAGGAATGTGGGAAAACTCCATAAAGAATGTAGTTTGGTACCTCACAAACTCTCCAATGACCATCGTTTCTAACGTGTGAACGTTGTTTCGTCTCTTCTGGCGCGTAATGCGCGTGAACCATTTTTTGACAGAATTGTCACCGGTGATGAAAAATGGATTATCTTTGCGAATATTAAACGCCAAAGACAATGCCTCAGTCCTAGACAGAAAAAAAAAAAAAAAAACATTTCCGACTACAAAACCTGGACTCCATCCATAGAAAGTGATGCTTTGCATTTGGTGGGATATCAAAGGAGTAATTCATTTCGAACTCCTCAATCCACAGCCAACTGTCAATGCAGAAATCTATAGTCAGCAACTGGAACGTTGAAATCAAGCCCTTCATCATAATCGTCCTTCACTCGTCAATCGGAAAGGTGTTCTTCTCCACGACAGTGCACGTTCACAAGTGGCACGTTTGACGCAACACAAGATTATGGAGTTGGGTTGGAAAGTTCTCCCCCACCCACCATATTCTCCAGATATGGCACTATCAGATTACCATGTTTTCGTTCACTGCAACAACATGTTTATTGGAAAAACGTATGCACGTGTGGAAGGTGTTAAAGAGAACATCG